ACGTATACGAAATACCAGTTGTGACTGCTCCTCGTTGCTATCATAGTAGTACTGGGTGTGTGAGCGCTCATATAGATTGAGGGAGTCATGCGGAGAGATGCCTTTTCCGGCAGAAACGATCATGGAATCCAGATTGCCACTGCTCCCATTGACACTGCTGTCACGACTCACGAGCAGTCTATTTTTAGAATGAATCTGATTGATGTTGCCTGTACTCGCCGCGGACGAGGCCTCCAGTATGCTCAGTTGCTGCTGAGACAGCTGTAATTGCGGTGAATGATATACGGATTAGGATCCAACGGAAAATGGCACAGAAGAGAATCGGATAATCTAAGCAAGAAACACTACACAGTGAATGATGTAGTCACATCCAAAGTAACGACAAGAATCCGTCAGCACAGGCGCACCCACAAGCCTATAAATGAACATGCATTGTACACGCACAAATTCCCAACAACAACAAATAAATAAATACCGAAACCAGTAAATCCATGAAGAGAAGTCACCTCTTGGTTTCACAAACACTTTCAATTCGGTGCCGAACTTTGGACAAAGAGGCAGAAGTATACATACAGAGTGCAGTAATTTGCTCACCGAAACTTGACGCTTTTAGACAAGGAAGCAGAAGTATATATACAGTGTGCAGTAACTGTCTAACAGAGACTCAACGCTTTGAGACAAGGAAGCAGAAGTATATATACAGCGTGCAGTAATTGGCTAGCGAAGACTTAACGCGCACACAGCCGAAGCCGAGTCATTTGAGCGACATGAGAATCACCTAGTGGTATTCTCTCTCTCACACACATACACCATATATCCTTTGTCCTCCTCTCAGCCACCGTAAGACCTTGGGCTCAAACACACACACTGTATATTCTGTATCCTCATGTACATCCACACACCATTTCCGTGATACCATAGTAACATATCGTGTAACTTATGATACTACACACACACACTCTCTCTCTCTCTCAAACGCACACACACACACACACACACACACACACACACACACACACACACACACACACACACACACACCTACCTACCACACACACACACTA